AGAGAGAGAGAGAGAGAGAGAGAGAAAGAGAGAGAGAGAAAGCAATTATAATAATTATTACTAAAATGTTATATTTGAATTAGCCTGTATTTGATTACGATGTAAACGCCAACATTGAAAACCCTGAATACCCTAACACTTGGATCGCTGTCATGACGTCCAGAGATGTGCCGCTCAATAGTGTTAAGCCCTTTGAAATGTGTGGCAAACAATGTGTGGCATTCAGGGGTGGATCGGGTGTTGTGAACGTGTTGTCCGCCTATTGTCCACATTTGGGCGCAAATCTCGGTGTCGGCGGACATGTGGTGACTGAGTCAGAGTCGGGCGACGACTGTATTCAGTGTTCATTCCATGGCTGGAGGTTTGGCGGAGACGGACAGTGCAAACGCATACCTAATCTTAACAGTATGTCTATAACTTATATTTATTACTTATATTAATTCATTGTTAATTTAATAATTAATAACACATTTATACTGTATGTTAATTTTTAACAGATTCTGAACTAAAGCCATTGAAAGCTGAGGTTAAAAAATGGCAAACACTAGAAAAAAATGAATTGATATATGTTTGGTACCACTCGGATGACAAAGACCCGGATCACTACCCGAAAGAATTTTTTGAAAAATGTGGTCAACAATATTCTCTCGCAGGGAGTTATCCAAGAATTATATACACTTACTATAATGTAAAACAGGTTTTAATTATTCATTAAATGCTAATTTAACATGCGTGACAAGTTGTCACTGACAACCGTACACTGTATGGGCACAAAAACTATGACTCTGTGTAAAGTATGCCTCTATGTCACTCATATACTGATATTTTTACAATTATCATTATATATACATAAATTGTAATTGTTTTTAACAATATAGGTAATTTTAGAAAATGGATCCGATTTCCATCACACTGTTTACCGTCACGATGTGCTCATACCATATATAGCTCGTGCAAAATTTACGTTCGATGAGTCATACGGCCCGGATATGGAAGCAATCATACGTGGTACAATCACCATCTATCTACTTGGCTACCAGTTGGTCACTGTATCCTTTAGAGTATGGCACTTGTCCCCAGTGTTGGGGCTGCTATCCATTGGCACCGAGAGCTCATTCCTGGGCACTGTAGCAGCATTGGCCACCACTGTACCATTGCAGCATGGTAAAACATTATACAGAACTTGTATATATTGTAAGACATCGTTTTTAAGTCGACTATACGCTATACTATTTGGGATGATTCTTGAAAAACAGGTATATTTTCCACAATTTCTAATATATTCACAAACATGAAAGTAGGGTACAAGGTAAGCATAACAATAATTGTTATAATTATAAGTATTAAAATAATTCAATGTTTTATAACCAAACAATTATTATATGATTTACAGGTGGATTCGGATTCAGTGGTTTGGGCTAACTATCAAAGACCTAAACGTCCCGTATTTACCCGCAATGACGAGGAAATTGTTAAATACCGGCGATGGTGTCAAAAGTTTTACACTAAATAAGTGTTTGTACCTTGGTTACTTTAAAGTTATTAAATTGTTGTCATAATTAAGTGCAATGGATAAATCTATATTTTTATTTTTTTGTATAAAATTTATTTTATATTTTTAATTACGTTTCTTATTTAAGATATTGATGTATTTTTTAAATCAATAAATGCAAATATTTTCAAACATAGATATAACAAATAAAAATTTAAGTAAATGTGATATTTAATTAAACTATATAAAAGTAATTAAATATTTCTATTTTGTTTAGTCAAATTAATAAAATCAGTTTTTCATATACAAGAGATGCCCCAACAGAGAGGTTGAACTGTAATATTGATATATAAAAACCATATGTTAATAAATCACAAAATTTTAAAATTCTCAGTCATTAAGTAAATTTAATAATGTATGAATATATTATTGTTTTAATTGTGTGCTATATTTTATACAATGTTTTTTATGCTTCAACAGATCTAAAAGTAGACAAAGTAAGTTTTGCCCCTGAGGGGAGAGAGAGAGAGAGAGAGAGAGAAAACAATTACAATTATTAAACTTTTTATTTGTATTAGTCTGTATTTGATTACGATGTAAACGCCAACATTGAAAACCCTGAATACCCTAACACTTGGATCGCTGTCATGGAGTCCAGAGATGTGGCGCTCAATAGTGTTGTGCCGTTTGAAATGTGTGGCCAACAGTTGGTGGCATTCAGGGGTGGATCGGGTGCTGTCCACGTGTTGTCCGCCTATTGTCCACATTTGGGCGCAAATCTCGGTGTCGGCGGACATGTGGTGACTGAGTCAGAGTCGGNCTCGGTGTCGGCGGACATGTGGTGACTGAGTCAGAGTCGGGCGACGACTGTATTCAGTGTCCATTCCATGGCTGGAGGTTTGGCGGAGACGGACAGTGCAAACGCATACCTAATCTCACCGGTATGTATAAAACACATATTTATTACTTATATTAATTAATAATTTACAATTATTATTAACTTAATAATTAATAACACATTTATACTGTACGTTAATTTTTAACAGATTCTGAACTAAAACCATTGAAAGCTGGGGTTAAAAAATGGCAAACAATAGAGAAAAATGAATTGATATATGTTTAGTACTACTCGGAGGACAAAGACCCGGATCACTACCCAAAAGACATTTTCGAAAAATTTGGTCAAAAATTGTCACTCGCAGGGATTTGTCCAAGAATTATATACACGTACTATAATGTAAATTGTTTTTATTATTTATTTTGTAGTAACACATTATATTGTCATTATTATTAATTTTTTTAAACTAAATATTAGTTACAAAATCTAATCATGGGATTTGTATTAAATGGATTACAAGATTATAAAAATATTTCACAAGCATACTGATCTTTTACAATTATCATTTTACATACATAAACTGTAATTGTTTTAACAATATAGATAGTTTTCGAGAATGGGGCCGATAACCATCACACTGTTTACCGTCACGATGTGCTCATACCATATATAGCTCGTTCAAAATTTACGTTCGATGAGTCATACGGCCCGGATATGGAAGCAATCATACGTGGTAGAATCACCATCTATCTGCTTGGCTACCAGTTGGTCACTGTACCCTTTATGGTGTGGCACTTGTCTCCAGTGTTGGGGTTGTTATCCGTTGGCACCGATAACTCATTGCTGGGCACCGTAGTGGTCGTGGCCACCACTGTACCATTGCAGCATGGTAAAACACTATTCAGATCTTGTTTATATTGTAGGACATCTATTTTAAGTCGACTATACGCTATGGTGTTTGGGATACTGCTTGAAAAACAGGTATATTTTACACAATTTTTAATATATTCACAAACACTTAAGTAGGTGTACAACAAAGCATAACAATTATAATTATTAAAATAATTTAATTTGTTTTATAATCAAACAATTAATATATGACTAAACAGGTTGATTCTGATTGTGTGGTTTGGTGTAACTATCAAAGAGTCAAACGCCCGATATTTACCCGCAATGACGAGGAAATTGTAAAATACCGGCGATATATTCAAAAGTTTTACACTAAATAAGTTTTGGTACCTTGGTTATTTTTAAACTTACTAAATTGGTAATATAAGTAAGTGCATTGGATAATTCTGCATTTTTTTATATCTAATATTTTTTGTATAAAAATTATTTTATATTTTTAATTGCGTTTGTTGTTTAAGATATTAATGTATTTTTATCAATAAATGCAAATATTTTTATACATAGATATAACAGTTAAAAATTTAAGTAAATGTAATGTTTAATTAAACTATATAAAAGCAATTAAATATTTTGATTTTGTTTAATCAAATTAATAAAAACAATTTTCATATACTTTATACAAATAAACTGTAATTAAACTAAAACTATTTCATTAATTGTGACACATTGAATATTTTAATAGTTGTACATGTGTTGTCGTTACAACTGATAGATGTTTTTATTTGTTTTAATTTGTAATTATTTTATTTACTTGTTAGAATTTGCAATTTATCAATTTACCAATTTGTTAACTACAATAAATTTTTAATTTTAACCATACAGCTCTAAGTAAGTGTATTTAACTCAAAATGATTTTTGGGCTACATCTATATTTAGTTAGAAATAAAATATTTAATTTCATAGTTGTGTAAAATATAAATAATGATTGACCATCTGTTATTTATACCGAATTATTTTTGCGTACTTAGAAAACTGAATTAATCAAAATTGATAGAAAAATTTTACTTACAATTTATTTATTAGTTTTGATAATAAAGATTCACAATAATTTAATAAATAGCCATGTTCATGTGAGTATTGTATTAATAATATATTAATAATATATTAATAATTTATTACAATATTAGAAATCAATAATTTTGTAAAGTAATAATAACTATTAAAATTATTATAAATAGATTAACATGGTTACAATTGTTTGCCGCGTTCATATTTGGTTTGACCACATATTATTTGGCACGATTTTACTCTCAGCTCGCTAATTACCCACCAGGCCCATTCCCATTGCCATTAATTGGCAATATACTACGTAAATAATTTCAAAACATTTAATTTTAATTAGTAATTTGCATCCATTTTTAATTAAATAAATTTTTACAAAAAAGTGTTTAGAAATATGAAACAACACACAAACCAAGAATTGACAAAACTATACAAACTGTATGGACCGGTGGTCACCTTATGGATGGGTCCCATACCTGTTATATTGATTGGTGATCTCGATATTGGTAAACGCGCTTTTAATCAACAAGAATGTTTAGGAAAATTTCAAATCCTAGGTACATTAACATGAAATTAGTAAAGTTTAAAATTATTTAACTTTGTCAGATGAGATGAAAGTTAAATTATTACATACATCATGACCCAAGATTATGACCCTGGTCTCATTTATATTCTAGTCATAATTTACAAAACAAACTAACTACGTTATATAATCATTTATTATAGGCTCAATTTTCAACGCAAACAATCGGAGAGATATTTTATTTAGTAGTCACACGCAAAGTGTGAAAAATGGCCATCACCAATATTAGGTTTGATTATTTTATTACATTTATATTTATTTTAATCAAAATTATTAATTAATAAATTAATAGGAAATACACAAAATCAACGAATTTCACCGAAATAGTGAACACAACTGTTGATGAAATCATAACATCAATGATAACCAATGAGGGAACTAATCGACCGTTTCGACCGCATTCCTATTGTAACGCAATTTTAATCAATATATTTAATACATCTATTTTTAACCATAAGTATAAATAAGTCATGATTTCTATAATTTATATATATAAAGTTAATACTTTATAAAAAAAAGTTAATACTTTATATAAAGTACTTTACTTAATACTTTATTTACATTTATTAATTTTCACGATCTAGGTTAGATCAGGAAATGTACGCTAATTTTCAATACCCTAGTTTTGGGTAGGACACGATATTAACAACACATACGCTATTTATGAGTTTATACCCATTTTTCGTTATTTTATGGCCAATCCGTTGCGAAAATTACAACAAATATACAACAAATGCTTTGAATACACAAAGAATGAGCTAAAAAAACGTGAAAATGCTTACGACGAGAGCAATGGTCAGGACTTTTGTAAATTGTTTATCGGCGCTAAACACAGGGCAGAGGCGGACGGGAAGCCAGAGTTGGAGTATTTAAATGACAATAACATCGCAGCGGTAGTTATGGACATGTATTTAGCTATTAATTAAATGTTCTCAAATTATATACTTTTAATTTATTCATTTAATAAATTGAGACAACAAACAGCACACTATTATGGCTAATATTATTGATGACATATTATGGCAATTGGCAGCAAAAAATGAGAGATGAGATCAATGATAAATTGGGCGATAGGGCACCGGTTGTGGGCGACAAACAATGCTTGCATAATGTTATGGCATTTCTATACGAAACTATGCGCTATAGAAATACAGCACCCATTGGAGCACCGCATACGACATTAGCCGACACTATAATAGGTTAGATTTATTTTAAAACATTATGATTTAAAGTTACTTAATTCAATATTGGTCTTAAGATGGTAAATATCCAATTCCGAGTCAAACAATAATGGTTCAGCATTTATGGCAGATATTAACGGATAACAAAATATGGAAAAATAGCAATGAATTTAAGCCAGATCGTTTTCTTACTGAGCATAGATGCTTTACTTCCGTAGGCCATTCAGCTTACATACCATTTGGTGCGGGGAACCGGTCGTGTCCTGGTGAATTTATGGCTATAAATAGTTTATTTCTAATTATGGTAAAAATTATACAACATACTAATGATCATCCAATACAATTGGCCAACAAATATCAAAACCCCGATTGTGTAGAACCCGATCTTAACGTCAATGTTATGATCATTAACATCCAGGCTACATAATTCTAGTCAATAGGATGTATTGTAATGATGAATTATGGTAATTCATAGTTTAACTTTGGTTAATAGCTTTAATTTTTCATTATTTTGGTTATTACTAATTGGTTAATAATCATCATACAGTATACCCTCGCACATAAAAAGGTGCGAGTGTCACATATGGGTCACCTACGGCTGGTGAAGGTTATGATTTTACATCCCATTGAGTTTGAAATTGTTTTTAAAAACTAATTTTTATAGAGACCAGATTTAATTATAAAACAATATTATATATTTTATTTATATTAACTTATATATAAACACATTTAAATTAGATGTTACTGTTAGTAATAAATTACTAATGCCATCATAATAATAATGAAAGAGAGAGAGAGAGAGAGAGAGAGAGAGAGAGAGAGAGCTCCATATAAAAAATAATAACTTGTTTAACACAAGTTGTGTTGTTAATTAATCAAATGATAATTAATTGTCAAAAATAGTTTTATAAACATTTGTATTGTAGTGTAAAAATGTTTTATTCATAAAATTGTTATCAGGTCATAAGTGAGGACAACAGTCGACCATATTAATTATAGTTTGCATATAAATCATTTCTATTAAAATTTAAGCGCATTTAAGCAACAATTAAAATCCGGATTATAACTTAAACCTGTTTATTATTGAACAATATGATAAACAAGATTCACACAGCAATGCTATACGTTAACCACAATTCGGGAAATGCATCAAAGATTTTAAATTTTTTAATACGTTTGTTAGAGTACTTACACTATTGTTATATTGAGAATTTTAAATGTTTTTGACAACANATACGTTAACCACAATTCGGGAAATGCATCAAAGATTTTAAATTTTTTAATACGTTTGTTAGAGTACTTACACTATTGTTATATTGAGAATTTTAAATGTTTTTGACAACAATTAGTTTTATTTATTATGTCAGATTCATTTAGTATATTTTCCACATACATGCCACATATATTTCCCTTGGTTATTTTAAAGTTAATAAATTGTTATTATAATTAAATCACTGAAATGAAGTGCATTGAATGTTTAAAAATTATTATATTATTTTTAATTGCGTTTGTTATTTAAAATATTGATGTATTTTATTTTTGTACATTATTTTTAAATTTTAGAAAATAATTTGTATAAATTAAATAAATGTACTATTAATTATAATTTAATTGATTATTATGTTTTATTTTAGTAAAAATAAAATTTTCATTTTAAATGTTACATGCTTAAAGTCTAAGCCCCTTAAACAAACGAGCTTGGGCGTTCATTAATCCAAAACAATTTACGTCATTCCACTGTTTGGGATACGTTTTTCTCAGCCAATCATTATTAGTGTCCTCGCAGTCAGTGTCCGATATAATCACATTCAGTGGGTTTTGTTTGACAAACCCCTCAAATATAGATTGTTTTATATATTGAAAGCCATTGTCCGTAACGTATAGATTGACGGGTCTATTGATGGCATCAAAAGTAGTGGCCACAAGTGAATCGTACGTCAAATGATCGGCAATTAAGCGGATTTCCAGGGGATCTTTAGAGGCGACTGAACTGATGGGAAACGCTGTGTACAGTATCTTCTCGATCGCCGCATTGTCTTTAATTTCAAGTGTTTTTAGTTTAGGTAAATTCATAAATGCATTATGGCCAATTATTTTCAACGCCTTATTTTGCTCGATGTAAATGTGCATGAGTTCGTTCATAGATTTTATAGCAGACGCCGGTATCATGGTCAAATTAGTTTTAATTAGCCGCAAGTTAGCTAGATTGGGGAGACTTTGAATGGCAGCGAATAGGTCACTACCCACAGTAGCCTCGTTTACGGGTGTGTTAATAATGTCTAAACGTTTGACCCTGTACGCCCCACCATTAAAAGCAGCTGAGTGAATTTTTTTCAAACTTGTTGAATCTTCAATTATGATGGCGTCGAATAAGATGTCGGCGAACACATTGGCCGGAAGTTCAGTGATTTTATAGTTTTTCAATACAAACCGTACGAAAGTTTTCTCCTCGGCTTTCAGTGATGTTTGCAGGGCTTTAAACATTGCCACCAAATCGAGTGCCACTCCGCTGTCGCACTCGATCGCGCATTTTATGTTGGCCACCTCCACGAACTTGCATGGTGCTTTTATTAATGTGGTATCAGGGCAGATTTTGTCCGCTGTTACCATGCTCAATACGGCCGCAACCGCCAATAGATTTACTATTAATTAAAAAAACAATATTTTAAATTAATATTTAGTATTAAAAATATTGAATAGATTTTTAAATACTTACAAATTTTATTCATTTTTGCAAACTATTGTACACCAACTTTACTGTTAAACTACAATACTATTTGTATTATATTTTTAATTAATTTAACTCGCTATTTATACTTTATTTTCATTGCCAAATGGATTACATTTATCTAATCTAAACACGTAGGAAGTATTGCAGAATTACACTCATCATTAGGTAATTATATAGTATATTCGTAAATCAGAACCTTTATTACCTAAACAGATGTTATAATAATAGTGGTTTTACTAATCTATTCTAATTAATCTACAATAGAAAAATTTTACTAATTAAACAAAGAATTAAAATTTATTATAAAATAATTTGTACATTTTAATTAAATACAATTTTTATTATTTACTTTCGGACAGGATACAATAGGGCAGGATTTACTATGGAAAACATCATATTAAAGCATTGACTGTATTAAAGTTTGATATCGCGTTTTGTATAGTATTGACTCACAGATGGGGCGTTTATTATGTTTTCCATACTAAATCCTGCCCTATTGTATCCTGTCCGAAAGTTAGTATAAATATAATATAAATTATAAAATTAAAAATGTTTGTATAATCGGCATAAAAAGTTCGATTATAGTTTATAAGATAAAAGTTTAGTTTATTATTGTGCAAGATGTTTCTTATTGACTTTGACCATGGTTATCACTTTATTATTGAATTACTTAGAAAACAAAAGTTATACACATATAAGAGATAAGACCGATGTTGCCTATTATATTATATTTTTTGATTTAACAAACATAATTCAACATGTACAAACTAAATATTTTTACATAAATACTAAATATATTAAGGATTTTTATACTAGAATTAAATACTGACAGACTTACATTGTATTAACACAAATAATAATGCTAATTTTTCTTTTAAATTTTAATAACAATTAAATTAAACAACTTTATTGTTGAAAATTTTAGCAACATTATTAGTTGTAATAACAAATAAATTTAAACTTCTATAATTTATAATATAAATTTTATATTTATTATATTTTAGTTAATAGTATTAGATTAGCATTTTAATGAAAATGAAATTTACGCTTTTAATTTATAAAAAGTTTGCCTATTAAGACAAATGTAATATTACTAATATTACTTACAAACTATACATTACTTATGTTTTGCCGATACTTGAGTTTTCCAATCAATCAATTGTTTTAAATAATACACAAAATAAGAGATTAGAAAAAGTACAAAAAAAGATAACAAAATACATATGCAATAAATTAGGTTTAAATAATATTACATATATTGAAAGGTTAATTGCATTGAATATTTGTACACTTCAAAAGCGAAGAAATATTTAAATTTTGAAAACACTCTTTAAAATTACAAATAATTGTTTTATAATTAACAACAAATGAAGAAATAAAATAGATTTTTGTGAAAACTCCAGAAACGGTACGTTTTGTAAAATACCAAAAAATTCGTATTTCATTAGTAGAAAAAAACTTCTTTTATAATTGTATAAAACTATTTAATTCATTGCCAAAACTTATACAAAATGAAAATAATTATAACAAATTTGTGAAATTATTAAATGATTATCTGTAATATATTTATACTTTATATTACGTTTAAGACAAGTTCTTGAATAAACTATTATTATTATTATTATTCTAAAATTATTTATTTAAAATGTGCATCAAAGATTTTAAATTTTTTAATACGTTTGTTAGAGTACTTTCACTATTGTTATATTGAGAATTTTAAATGTTTTTGACAACAATTAGTTTTATTTATTATGTCAGATTCATTTAGTATATTTTCCACATACATGACACATATATTTCCCTTGGTTATTTTAAAGTTAATAAATTGTTATTATAATTAAATCACTGAAATTAAGTGCATTGAATGTTTAAAAATTATTATATTATTTTTAATTGCGTTTGTTATTTAAAATATTGATCAATTTTACTTTTGTACATTATTTTTAAATTTTAGAAAATTATTTGTATAAATTAAATAAATGTACTATTAATTATAATTTAAATTATTCGTGTTCAACCAAGTATAGCGGCTATACTTAGTGTAGCCACATGTTCAATAGAAATATCTTACATAAATATATTCATAATTAATTGATTAAATTGACAATTGACAGACATTTTGCAGTATAAT